TTAACATGTCGACATGGCGACGTATGCATTTGGACGAGGAAGGAAATCAAGTTGAGCTCAGAAGTTCAACCAACCTGATTGAGGAAGTTATGAAAATAAATTATATCCAAGAGTTTGAAGCAAAGTAAAAGGCAATAAGAAAGTACAACACCAAGGTAAAGCTGCGAGAAATAAAGGAGGCAGATCTGGTGCTTAAGTACGTAGTGGCTACATCCAAGAAAGGTAAGTTATTTCTCAACTAGGAAGGAAACTTTAGAGTACGTAAAAAATTATCTCGAGGGACATAAAAGCTTCAAATCCTAGATGGTGAAGGTCCCCAAAACTTGGAATATTGTAGATCTAAGACATTATTATAGTTAAGGTGAAGTGTGACCAATAAAATATATAATAGTGAAGCATGTATGACCAATAAAATATTTTCACATTGGGGTAGCACTTTTTTTCCTACAATGGTAGGGGTTCTTGGGTGTTTTACATAAAACGTATATATTTGATCAAGTATAAAGCTTGGCTAGGAATCTAAAATCCAACAAAAATATAATGTAGGAATCCATCAGGTTCTTCTTGCGCTTATCTAAGACTCCTACGGGAGCATAATGCAGAAAATCATTGGGCTCTCCTTTTGCTTGTCTAAGACTCCTACAGAAGCATAATGCAGAAACACATGCGCTAATCTATTACTCTTACGAGAGCACAATGCATAAATCTACTTGGATCTCCTTACATTTATATAAGACTTATGTTCTGGAGCACAATTCAAAAACTCAATGGACTTTCCTTACACTTATCTAATGCTCATATTGAGCACCAAGCAAGAACCTGTTGGGCTCTCCTTGGGCCAATACAATGGTTGAAAACACATACAACAATTAAAATCTAATAGAGAAAACTCATAACGTAAAATGTACAAAGTAAAAAATATCACATATCGATCATAAAAGAATTACACTTACAAAATTATCCCTCAACGAGAGGAGATTATTCGGATAGGTACAATAAAATACAAATAACAACAAAACCTAGATGTTATGGCAACCTCAAATGAATTATTCACCAATGGGCTTCCTTCCTCCGCAATGGTAACTTTGGTATGCATCCCTTTCTTCAAAATGGGTGTTGTCTCTTGCATGCCATATAGATTATGGTCAACCTTGGGGTCTCTCTCCTCCACAAGACGCTTATTCATTATTACCATGAAGTAATCCAACTCTCTTAGATCAAGCTCAAGGTACAAACAAAGAGCCTGATTTTTTACTTTCTCAAACTTTTGGACCCCTGAGAGAAGGTTGTGAATTCGAGCTTTTTTAAGATTTGTTTTTAGACTGCCCATCTAAACCTCAACTTCATAAAGATTTTTTTATTATTTCTGGCCGGGCGTCTCCAAAGATTTCTTTTCCCATATAAGGGAATCTTTTTCTTGCTCTACCTTCATAAGAACAACTTGGGAATGTTTTAAATCCTTATCGAGATTGGTTGTCCTCTCGTTGGCAAAGGTTAACAAGGTTTGGTTTAACTTTTAGTTTTCTTCCATCTTCTTCAACATGGCCTTTAGGCCATTTTCTTTTTGGGTTGATAAGTCTGAGTCTTTAAACAATGTCATCCCTAACACGACACTCTTCATTGAGTAAGTGCCAAAAGGCTGAAGCATTATGAGCCTCAAACCTTCACAACACCATCGCTAGCATTGAGATGATCATATAAGAATGTCTATGTCAAATCTCATGTCCCATAAATAAAACTCTTTCGCACCAGGACCATGGGAGGAACCTCTTTTTTTATGATTACCGCCACTTCCCACCATTATGTTGCCCCCCTCTAAATAAATTGAGGTGACAACATGCATGTAAATTGGCGTTTTGTAGGGGTCGGCCCTTCCCTGTTTGGTTAGAGGTGACTTCGAGTCCTCAGTAGTAAGAGTAGACATGATTATGGTCAAACGAATGACCTTTATAATTTTTTCTTGACTAATATTTTTTCTTTTCTTTATCACCCGGGTCTGGAAGGAAGTAAGATCACTTTGATGCACGAGTTGAACCTCGCCCATGCGAGCTTTGGCTCTTTCCGTCATAGCCTTTTTCTCATTCATAGAAAGATGGGTTATTCTTCCTATAAAAGAGAAAAACAAGTAGGTCAGAATTATTTAAAAATAAACAGAAAGCTCATCAACATAGAATAATTCCTCTCATATCTAAACAAATATTTTCCCCGCAAGATACGAGATTACTCTAAAAAATAAATTACTTCCCTCTCTATCTAACTAAGTTTGGTCAGGTCATTATCTGTGATAGCAGCGGGATCACCCATCCATCAGAGAGGAAACTTATATGACTCATTTTTCTCATCAATAACCTCGGGGTATTGGGAGTTACCTTTAAACCTAAAAAACTATCTTTATAATTCGTCTAGTTGGAGGAGTATGGAAAAAGGAGAGACGCTGAATAGTGCTCACAAAAACTCACCCACCTTAGGTCACGCCTTTCATTCCGTAAAAAGAAAAGATCTTAGTTGTGGATGTGAGGTCGATACCACCAATAGAGGATGTCAAATCCTCTTACAAACACCTAACTATTTTGATGTAGGTGAGAGGGACAACATTAGGTACCTGAAGAACGTCAGATTCAAAAAGGTGAAAGGAATACCAACCCCCAAAGTCTTCAAAAACTCTAGAATAAAAGTAGAAATACTCATTCTTTACCCCGAGAGGTCATCACATGCAAACCTTGTCTCGAACGGAATGTTCCAATATCATGTCAACCTCGTTATCAGTGTTACACAGCTTCATGCCTACTCGAAAAACCTTCACCCCAATTGTTATCAAGACAAAGGGAATGCATACTCAAAACTTCCTCACAAAAGAAACTTGAGAGAAAAAAGGAGAGCTCAATGGTGAATTCGACATAATCCAAGGAAGAAGACACCAAATCAATGTCGTTGTCATCGAACATCTCACTTTCCACTAACTTCCAATTCATTTTACTCGTACCACACTTATAAGCTTGCAAGCACAGATTCCACAGCTCGTATTTCTCCAAAATGGTACGAGGTTCTATAGCTCTCCAAATGCATCACCCCCTAATAAACCATGATTAAGAAAAAGGATAAATAGAAAAGAAAGAGTTGATGTATTAACTAGGATGTTTCGTAGTTAACGAACAGAAGAAAAGGAAGAGAAATGAACTAAAAGCACAAAAGTGTTCATTTGTGTAGAAGAAATTGAAGTGATTTTGGAAAAAAGGTTTTCTTGTCTATTTAAGAATGGAAGTGGCGGACAAAAAAGTGACCACTCAATACTAACAACCTATAAATGTAGAGGTTAATGATGAACTTGGATTTTGTATAAGTCTCGAGGCACTTGAGAATAATTAGGAATAACCAAAGTTATATCCATAGTGAAAATAGAAAGGTCACGAGATAGAAAAATAACTAAAGGAAAAACTAGCCACGGGCTCAGGTAACGACAGAAGACTATAATGTGTCTGGCAATCCCAAAAAGTGCTTCTTACATCTCACTCTTACATGTACTGTTTATAATCCTACCTCTTTTCTAAAGCATATTGCTCTTACAAGCCCCACGCTTGAAAAATTATGTACAATCTAATCTCTAATCTAAAACTACATGCCTTTGAGGGACTGTACAATTCAATCTTATATCTAAAACATTTGCCCTTACAAACCACATGCTTGAAAAACTGTATACAATCTAATCTCTCATCTAAAGCACATCACTCTTAGAGCCTCGTATTTAAGGGAGTGTGTATAGTCCGATCACTCATCTAAAACACAACACCCTTACAGGCCACGTGCTTAAAGAATTGTATACAATCCACCAAATTAAGCTAAATCCAAACCTAGACTCAACATAGCCATTTTTATTTTTAAGCCATCTTACAGAGCAAGACTATACTACTTCAAGTTAATAGGCTAAATCGAGCAAGTTTACCATAACTAACATGGAGAAATCATTCATCCAGAAAGAGCATTCAAGATAGTTTAATAACCAGAATTAGCTGGTATTAGAAAGGGGGGTGAGGACTTATTCACATTAATTAGCCTCATGCAGACAAAAAATCATGCAGATAGAAAAACATAGATCTTAATGGCCCCAAATCAGTCTAATGAATTCAGAGCATCATAAATCATATATATATTTGTAACAATCAAGGAAGAAACAAAGACTTCTGATATAAGATCTAATCTTGCAACTCTTACTAACTCTCACTAGTAGAGTTATCAATTAGTGTTTTTTTTTCATCACCGGTATCCGGTCCACTGAACCGGCTAACAATTGGTATCAATAAGTGTATTTCACGTGTACAATCAATGTACTTTACGTGTACAATATATGTATACAATAAATGAAAAACCCAAACATATTCTCCAAAACCCTGCTGCACAAGGAAAAAAATACATAATATTTTTATCAAAATTCACATTTCTGTGTCGTAGTATGTTGATTCACACCATTAATTGTACAGTGCATAGTTGAGAATAACAAAGCAACACCTATGATACACGGACCCCAAGAAGATTTCTCATATCTCACCAACGCAAAGAAAGAGAAAAAAATATATATTATAACCCCATTGTCCTTGCGATTTTGAAAAAGAATGATAACGTGGGGCGATGACTAATAAATTTTAAAAATCAATGAGAAAAATAGCCAACACTGACAATCCATGACACAACCATGACCTTGATTTGTACCTATGGCTCAATTTACAATGGGTGAGTGGAACCCCGACTGCAACTTCTAGCGTTGTATGAGTAGTGAACCTAGCAGCAGGTACCAACCTTGCTTCTCAAACGTGTGTATATCTTCTAAAGGGATGCTGAGTAGACTGGTGAGAACCAGGACTGTGAATATCTTCAAGCTTTCCACAGTATTGAAGATCAGAAACTCACATACTCATAAATGGCATCATGCTATGTACATGACGCCGAAATTCAGGCAATAGCACAACCTCTTACAGCATAAACATTAGAGGTTTTATTAATTATCACTATATCCAAGCCAGCGAACCACGGTCATTTGCTCCTGGAGGACGACCTCTAGTTGGAGTTGGTGGTCTATTCGCATTCAACTCCTGTACATATTCACCCCAAAAAACATAATTTATAATAAATAAAGGGCTGAAAGAAAGTTCAAATTTTATTTAGATGTGCCTATGTATATTTGATAGGAGCAAATTTAAGCAGCACTAAATGGGAACCAACTGCAAAATATTTGAACGAGTACCTGCATCCAAGTATCTTCAATTTGACGTTCCGGTGATGTTTCTGGTGAAGAAAGTGCAGGTGGTAATGGATGAATCAGTTTAGGAACCACCACAAGATCCCTCCCCAAAACTAATATTGCTCCAGCATTATTTGCGGTACCTATAACCGAAGTGCCAAAATTTAATAGGTAAAATGAGAGAGGTGCAAGCGGACAACATACAAGCCATGAACAAATACCACAGTAATTTGTAGCTGAGAAAAGGGTGATTAAATGTCCCTGGGCAAAACGCTCAAAGCCATCCATCACACATTCATGTGCACGGACAATCAGCTGAAGATCATTGTTATTGCAAAATTCCATTACACGGTCAGGCTGCAACAGAAAACACCATTTACAAATTAAAAGGGCATAATACCATTACAAAATTTAACCTCTTGATATAGCACTAATTTAGATATTAAAGAAAGTACAGACAATATCTAGCAAGGCGCCTGTAACTAACAACCAAAATTACATCCATCATAAAAGGAAAACTTCAAAATAAAGGAAATATCAAGTGATGGCATTGATTATAGCAGGCAGTAAATGAGAGGGGAGTACATGAGTCATAAATGCAGTACAGCTCCTTGAAGATATAACATTCTTAGAATTTGGATTTGGCCTAACTCGACCCCTATAAAACAGCCTTGAGAGTGGGAAATGTCTGCCACTTATAAACTTATTTTCATGTTTTATCTCATCCAATGTGGGACTCAACACAAGAGAGTGAACCCCAGATAGCAAGAGACCCGATCACAGGTAGTCCTATAAATCTTTGATAGACTCTGGTACCATCTTAGAATTTGGACCTAACTTAACTTATACAAAATCGGCTTGTAAAGTGAGGGATGCCTCCCACTTATAAACCCTTTTTCAGACCTTAAGTTTCAAAAGTGAGACTCTTAACATCTACTCTCTCACTATTATAAGCAAATATTTCATTCTCAAATTCATTGAATAACCGGTGTATTTGGTCTTAAATATAGACTAGATAAATCAGTTATTCAATGAACTTGATAAAAGGAATATTAGCTTATAATCAGCTTTGTTTTTTTTCATGCCTCTAAAACGCTATGGTGTTTGTTAAGACTAAAAAACAGCGTACAGCTGATTCTTAAATTACAAACGAAGCTTTGAAACTCAGCACATACATTAATCAATAGGATTTCTAAAATGATAAAACAATTAATACCTGAGCATTCTTAGTTCATCAAATTCAATCAAATAAATTGTATTAATCAGCATTAATATACCTATCATCAAATATGTAGTAACTATTTATATCATTATCCAAGCAAAAGGCAACTAATACACAAAATATTAACCATTTCACAAAATAAGCAAGTAAAAATCACTCACCCCAAAAGTAACTAACCCTGGACCTCTAGCATTTGGTCGCAGACCTTCCACGCTGTCATTCTCGGTAGGATCAGACCTATAGAACCATTTCATGGTGTTATTCTTTAAAAGGTCGTGAATATGAGTTGTCATCAACATATAAGAACATAGAAACATAGTAATGCACTAACCATAAAAGATCCATCAACACAATTGATCCTGCTTCCATTGTAATAGGACGCTGAATATTCTCAATTTGTTCCAAGTGATTTATTGAACGGCCAATACCCCCATGCATGCAAATAATTTTTTTTTCAATTAGAGCGGCAAGAGGAAGCCAGTTAAACAGACGGTTTATCCGGTGCCATGTCCAAATTCCATCTCTTTCACCCTAAGCAGAAAATTACAATGTTGCTTCAGTACCCAAAAAGTAATATAAAATGTTTTCACATGTATGAAATTCCTTACCATCCTCTCAATGCACTCAATTCGAAAACCAAAAAGGGCATTAATATCTGCAGCTTCATGATTTCCGCGTATTAAGTGAACATTGTTTGGATACTCAACCTGAAAATTTCACATTATCATACATCAACCTGACACCATAAAACTTGATAAGCAATAAAAAGAAACAACGTATAAACTCGTAGTACCTTCAAAGCAAGCAGAAGGCTTATAGTTTCCAGGCTGTGTTGGCCCCTATCAACATAATCTCCTAGGAATAGATAATCGATATATCTGGTTGTCATTAACACAAAATTAACATGAGAAATTGGATGCCTAGACTGTTATCATTATGCACATGCTAGCTATGAGGGAAGAAAAATGTGTCATCATTATTGTATTCTAACTATTGACTATCAGATCAACATATGAAAGGCCTTTTTGTTGTATCAACTAAATCTAACAAACTGTATAGTCTAGTAACTATTATGCTACACAATCCAATCACACTGTCACTAAAATTCCAAATCAAAGCACAACGTAAATCGGAAAGAAAAACAAACAAAGCTACAAAAGCAATGGATTTATATCATATTATAATTCCATGATGGGATGCATATTGGTGATAGCAAGTGATACTTGATAGATTGCAATGCAAAGACAGAAATCAGTTAGATCAGGTATAAAGGTTAATCGATCCAAGAAAAAGTGCCATAAATATAGATCTTGAAAGACATCTACGAAATATATGCTGGATAACAAACCACGAGAACTGATGCTAAAAGATAGGCTTATAACAATGTATCAGGTGTACAAAATCTAATTGGGGAGATCCTACATTTACTAGAGAATCAGATATGGTAAAAGTAGTCTGTATAGAGGCTTGGCCAATCCTTTCCTTTTGAGCTAGCTTTTCAGGCCCTAACTCTAAAGATGATTTGGGATGGAGTTAGGCTGATCCCAAATTCTAAGATCTTTTTGAGTTTTTGAGTTACGCCTAGACCAAATTGTAAGATGATATTGAAGCCTATCCTTGGAACTGTTATTGGGCCACCCATATTTGTTCATGTTGCATGTCAGAAACAGAGTCAAAATGAAAGAAAGAGAAAGTAGAATCAAACAGAAAATTTGAGAAACTTCGATAGTGAGTTTGATAATTCGATTACTGAACTATTACACAGTATAGAGTATTTTTATAGGCAGGAACTTCCAGTTGATTTTAGAATTTATTAGCATTTCTAAGAGCACTAACAAACTAATGCCAACTAAGCAGCTAACTAAAGGAGAGGAATTCATTGCTGATTTACAAAACAGGCATGCGCAGCACTGGGCTGACTTTGCCAGACTAACTACTGGGCAAGAACCCATTACACAAATACTAACACTCTAGATGTTCGTCTAGGGCATGAAGGGGTGTGTTGAAACCCCATGTCTAGTAGAGATATGTGCTTAGTAGTTCTTACAAAGGCTTGGACAGTCCCCGCTTCTTTAGCTAGCTTTTGACTGTGAATTATTAACAGAAATTTTTGACTGTGAATTATTAACAGAAATTTTTGACTGTGAATTATTAACAGAAATTCTAAGATTAATGCAATAATCTCAATCTAGACTGGGACTCCACAGATGTTCAAACAAAAAAATGGTAACAATCCATTCATGAATAAATATCCATTTCTCAAATATAAAACTATCCATTACTCACATATAAATCCATCCATGGGAACTAAGGAACTTACGCTATGTCACCGGCAGTTGATGGTGAACCATACTCATCAAAGAGGCGCATGAGATCCCCAAACTGCCCATGTAAATCACCAAATATTTTAATTGGTGCCTTAAGCTGTATGACAGTTGGTTCACTAGAAAATATCCTCTCTGCACTATCACAAAGATCTGCAATTTCATTGCAATCCAAGAAAAACTGCCGTCGAACTGGTGGTTTCCAGCCACGAGGCTTTAAGAGGTGTGCTATGACCTACATAGAAGGTCAAGTAACTTAATTAGAAACAAGCTGAACATAAAATGAAGCCAAGCTTGATGAGTTCAATAAAATAAGTATGAGGAGAGGTTCAACAAAATAGGCATGAAAATCGAAAACCCAACATGGGATGGGACAAAGATTCAATAGAAGACACTCGGGTTATACCCATCATCAACAGAAAGGATGTTATGGAGTACAACAACAACATAAGGAAGGTTAACGAGCATAACTTATCAGATTTTCGGCACCTGACCCATTGCAAAAAATGCCAACATTAAATAATTGTCTTGTTTTAAAGCAATCAGAATAATGCATCTGATCCATTGCTGAATTATTAAATGAAATGTATATAACTTTCCTTATAGAGTTTAATTTTGATCATCCAGTCATGTGTTTTCACATCATTTAATTGAGTTTGACCTTGATAAACACTATAAGTCGTTTTACAATACCAAGGAATCATTAATGCTATTTTTCCTATTATACCTGTAAGTATTTATTATATTCTCTTCTTTCAATTTTTTAAACTTATCTACCCCATACCATAAATGATGGACAATTTTGTAAAATTATTCATCATTTCTCTTTCCATACAACAATGATTGCATTTCTTAATAAGAGTGGAAAGTAAAAAACGACTTATAAAAAAAACGGAGGGAGTGTCTAGTTAGAGACAATGTACCTTCTTTGGGACACTATTGATAGACATCTGCCGATCTAATAACTTTCTAGCAGCAGTAGCACTATCTGGAGTCCCATAACTGACCCGTCTACCTTCATTTTCAAACTGATCAATCGAAAGCTGCCTAACCATTCCACCTAAAGCCCCACCAGTCTCTGCGGCAATAACCACCTGGGAAAAATTTCAGAAAAAGTTGCACTTGAATATATCATGAAAGCTTGACAAAATGTATTTTCCTTAGTAATCAAAATGTACTACTCACAGCTCTGTGATGCAGCCTGACTCCACCAGAAGCAATACTATTTGGCCCTGCAGATTCAAGCTTAATCATGGAAGATATTTGTTTCCCACTAGGAGTAGCCTCGGCGCCACGATCCCGATCCGGTGATTCAACGCCCCCATTCTCTTGCCGCGCCTTGGCAGCAGCCAGTGTGGCACTGATAGCTTCAGCTTCTGCAGCAGATGCTTCAACCAGATACTCGACTCCTTTGCTAGTTCTCCTGTTTAATTTTTTTTTCATATGAATGATTGAGCCAAAGAGGTGAAAATTTAACATTCCCTAATTAGAATACAAACTAGGATAAACTATACTTCCTTCAGCTGAGACATACTTAAATTACACTACTATTTTCAAGAATCACACTTCCCGCCCATCATAGATTAAATATGGGGAAAAAAAACTATTTAGGGTAATTTTATTTCTGTGACTTTCAATATAGTTTTGCACTGCTATTGCCAAGTCGACTGAAGATAAATGAAAATTTTGGGTGAAATTCCAAAGCCAAATAGTAGGAGGCTTTCCTTTTGTCATTTCATATTTAAAATCACTAAAATCAATAGTAGAGACTTTTCACAACTAGTTGCCAATGACACTTATAGTTGCAACAAAGGATGAATCTACTAGGGGTTTTGTTTGCATTAAACGTACATAGCTCATTTCATCTTACAAGGGAATGGATTGTAATTTAAAAAGTATTAGGAGGAAAGTATAATGTAAGTAATTCTCTCTTGTGGTAGAGTGTGATTACAGTAAAAGCTATCATACCTAGATCCCTGAAGCAATGCATTTTCAGTGCTGATATCAGTATACATGTCACCATTTACAGGGGGGGCAACTGGATTTCCCAAAACAACTGCACCATCAGCAGCCGCATCAGACATTGTTTGCCCTGTTCTATCATCAACAAATCCATATCCTCCTGGTGCTCGTCCCATTTGTACATCAGACGCAGCTGCTGCAGCAGCAGCATGCGAAGCAGCACTTGTTGTTTCCGCAGCAGCAAGATCTTCCGCAACAAGCAAGTCATCCAGCAAGACTCCTTCAGTATAAACACAATACATTATGATTAGTCCTTCTCATGAAGTAAAAAAGTTAGAGCTTACCACATAATAAAATTGTGGAGTACGAAAGAAAACATCTAGGCTTGCAAGATGAACAGGGATTGATGATGGGACATGCTCAAGAACAGTCCAAATAATATAGTAATTTAAGTCAACAACAAAATATTGGATATGATATGAGCATAATGAGAACAGCAACTGTGTTGAGGAAATCATCTCTCAAAATGGTTCCCTCGTGTTATAGCTATACCAATGGTAAACCTAGTTAAATGGCAATACCCAGCATTTCTTTCAACAGTCTGGATATGCTCTTCCGGACTCTATTTTTCCGAAATTTTATATCTTCGAACTCTTCTTTAAGCATCATTGGAGTTATTCATATTCAGAAAGAGGACAAGAAAATTTTCTACCTTCTACTTCAAGTCCATACAAATAGGGGTGTTCATGGGTGCGGGTAGACCCGCGAACCCGCTGACCCAAACCAATCCACCCCATAAAATTACCCGAACCCGTTCATTTACGGGCTGATAGAATTGCATAATGCAGTTAGGGAATTCTGTTAGGGAATTCTCATTGTATTTCAGAACCAAAGAGATACAATGAACTCTCATTATATATATAGAGTATTCTGGAACAGAAAGCTAACAGAAAGCTATAACTAACTCTTACAGCAGAGCACAACAATACAGCTCAGCATATAACTATAATATAAACTGCTAACTAATACACCAACTCTATCACGGGCATGTCCAACCCAACCCACAACAACCCGTATAGTTTTGGTTTGGATATCAGGTTTGAATTTTTCAACCTGCAGACCCGTTGATGTGTCATTAGTGATTTGTTATTTTTTATTATTTTAAATGAAATTATAAATTTAATATATCACTACTAACCACAATTTTTCCAAAATAATTTTATTCACCACCCCACTGCTGCTGCTGCTGCTACTACTACTAGACCAATGAGTTTATGTAATTTTAAGACCATGTGTTGTTTCTTATTCTTTTGTATCATTTACAACTTACATATTTTATAAAAGTATTTATAGAAATAACGTGTTTTATGAAATTTTCTACTATTATCAAGTGTTATGGCATGTGGATGAATTTTATTAGACATTATATGATGTGTTTCACTTTCATCCAATTTTAGAGTTAGAAATGAGTGTAATTGTATTGAATTGTGTTATAATTTTTTTATAATCAGAAAGAAGTATCAAAAAAAAAATTGTTTAAAAAAAAACCCGAGAACCCAATTCAATCCAACCCATAAATGAGCATGTTGGTTTGGTTCGATTTTGACTGTGAAACTGCAGATTGGACGATGAAGCCAACCCATTGAAGTTTGAACGGGTTGTGTAACGGATTAGGACGAATCTGGTCCAACCCAATCCGTGTACACTCCTACATACTAATATCCAAAAGAAACGAATTCAATCAAAACAGTAAGTATATATAAAGCATGAAAATCAAAGACAGCAACAAAAACCACCACCAAAGTCGTATGTCACACCATGAATCAATTCCCAATAGTAGACCATTTAAATCTAAATGAAAACCAAAGGGAGCAAAGTAACTAAATTGTCGCCAGACAGCAGGCTGGCCTAATGAATTGCAATGATTAAACTACCACATGACTCAAACAAATACATTAGATTTATGACTTACCACCACGTAAACCACCATAAATAAAAATTAGGTCACCAACAGCAGCAGCTGCATGCCTGCAACGCCGGACCAACTCAACAGAGGCGTCTCCACCAGCTGCATCAGCACTGTATCTACCCGTTCTTGGAGTGGTAACAACAGATTTTGTATCACACCAAACACCAGCAGCAGTGTCCAACACTGCAATGGAAACAATGAACGTTAAAATAAGCTTCTAAACATAGCATGAATTGGCACAGTGATAAATCTTGCCTTTTCTTCAAAAATAAGTACACAAAATTACCATTGGTAAAATATACTAAAGGTTACAGCAGCAAGTAGGCACCAGCAAGCTATCCTACAAACAGTAGCTACAGCAGTAATGAAATTCCAAACGTATTTGTTATTATAACTTAATCAAAATCATCCAGATTTCCACAAGAATATTCTTTTTCTATATTCACCAAAAAAAATAAGTCACTCTTCTGTTAAAATATGAAAATTGCATGGACACAAGAGTGTAGTGGAAGAAAGAAGATAGAAAGCAAGGTCATAAAAACCAATAAGTAGTTTGTTATACTTGCAGTCAAGATCAAATATGGCCAAACAATAAAATACCAATCAAAGAACACAAATTTTAAGCAACACCACAATCTATTACCTGCAACACTAGATGAATCTTCTACCATCCGTCCTCCACCAAGAGCCCCACCAGAGACATGGAGTCTTGCATTAACAAACACCTATAATCATCAAAGAATTAACTTATGATACTTGGAATACACAACCAACTAAAAATAAATAAAAGGAACTTATCTCACCGCTGCATGCTGATATCTTGAAGATGGTGAAACACCTGGGGCAATTGCCCATTCCCAACGACCATCTCTATGCTTAGCAAGTCCATATGCACTAGCCAACGGCTGTATTATAAGATTTGGGGAGGGGCATAGAAGTAAACAATTTTAAAAGAGTCGCATAAAAATATACAAGTTTAAGAAAATTACATGAATCCCCTGAGTAATGTTTTTTAAATAAAATAGGACAGGAATACAGAATGAAAGATGGATAGGAATAATCATATGACTAGACGCATCAAATGATGTCAATGACGTCTGCAAGAAGGAAAGCATCCAACTTTTACTTGCAAGTGATAGCCAGACTGAGCAATTAACAATCAGGTGGAGTTATTGGAACTTCAATGCCCAACTACCAAATAGTACTCGATAAGAAAAGCATTCAATCAGTTATTTGCAGGTCCCATTATATAGGTAGGCCAGTCAGATTTTGAAAGTAAATGTGAATATTAGGATTCAGTGGGGAACCCCCTCTTAAAAAATAGCTATCAAGGGAGAAGAACCAATCCACATAAATACTCCTCCACCGTTCATCCCATACTACTTGATGTAGGACTTAGGCACCCCATAATACTCAAGTCCCTATCAGATACATATTCTGAAGGTAGATGCTAAAATGACAAATAAAAATATGAAAGAAAGCAAGAGATTGCACTTGGTCAAGGAAGCAAAATCTGCAAAGAGATCATCTTCCTACTAGTTAGGGGGTTTGAATCCTCTCCTACATGCACCCTCCAACAAAAACAAACGTGTGTAAGAGGTGAGAGAACAAACACAACAACAACAACAACCAAGCCTTATCCCACTAAGTGGGGTCGGCTACATGGATCAATTTTTACCATAATGTTCTATCCAGAATCATGCTTCTATCTAAATCGTTAATATCAAGGTCTTTCTTAATAACTTCTCTTTTAGTCTTTCTAAGTCTTCCTCTTCCTCTAGTGTAAGAGGAGAGAGATGAGAAAAAATGAGGAGGTGCCTTAAGAGAAAATAAATGACATATGGATAGAAATATGACGTGGGAGGGAGGGGGTGTAGGAAAGTTTTGTGGGAGAGGACCCAAATCCCTAGTTAGCTAGGTTGGTGTGGCAGACAACAAACCAGTGGAGTTTTTCGAATTTTTACCCAAATAACTCAATTTTTCAAAAAAAAATTCCAAAATACTCCACTTTTCAAAAATATTCCCAAAGTACCCCAGTTAGGGTTTGGGCTTACACAAGGGCGTCATTCCAATTGGCGACCCTTTGTTAAGGGCATAAGGGTGTCGCCAATTGGATTGGAGACACCTCATGCAGTCTCCAATCTAATTGGCGACTCGGTTATGGACTTAAAAGGGTGTCGCCAATTCATCTGGAGACTCCTTAGAATTTGAAATTTTTTTTCTATAAATAGAGGTGTTTTTGATCATTTACTTCCACATTTCATCTGATATCTTTGTTCTACAGATAACTTGTATTGTCGCCGGTGGGAAAAAGTCGTCTATTCGAGAGAGAAGCCTCCGATGGACATGCTATTTTGGAACATACAAAGTATCAATCAACTTAAGAGGGAGCTGAATCGGTGGTTGGCAGGAGACATTGGTGAAGGGGAAAAATTCGTAGTATCGAGAGACTTGATCGGCTGCGTGGATGGGTTCGTGTTAAGACCGACAAAGATGCGAGGGAAGTCATGTTTGGACCGAATGAAATTAGTTTGATTGTTGTAATCAGTTAGGAATGTTGTAATCACCTAGTTAATGTTTTATGTTTTATGAAATTAGTATCTGTTGTGTGTTGTTAGTGTTGTTTTTTGTTAACATTGTCGTAACAAAAACTCATCAATATATGAAAATATTTGGTTACAACAAATGAAACGATAAGCTAAATCATGATGCAGATGTTCCTCCGACATTGGGACAATTTTTTCGGTTGTGTCCGAGCTGTCGGCATATACTGCACAATCTTATCATTTTATCAGCGGTATCCATTCCGCTTCTTATACGCCTTGCTGTTTGGGCGTCCATTTTTCTTTCTTCTCATTCATCGTTGTGCCAAACTATGTGACCTTGGTATGGAGGCCAATAATCCTCCATTGGTAGCACTACGAAGCCTTCATTGTATATGTTCATAACATTAATCGCCTTGTAAACATCAGATAGATAGCCATAAGCATTTTGACGAGCATGTGCGCATGCCGCAATAACATGTGAGCAAGGTACACGGAAGGCCTGATACTTGCCACAGTTACACCAACATCTGTTTAGTCTTGACAGCATAGGATAAATTGGGTCTCCCCTCATTATGGTTCATTGTTTCTTGTACACTGAATGTTTGCTTATGACAGTCGAAGACTGTAACTGCATGTGTGTTAGCTCTGATAGTATCCTTTTTCATCAATTTCATTATGCTTTCACTGAATACTTGACCCGACGTTAACACTGCACTCCATATTTCGCCTATTGTTGCGAAAAGTGACCCACCCAGTTGCCAATATTAGTTTATGTAAATTTTTTTTAATTAATGATAATATTATTTATTTTTCGTAAAAAAAAAATTCAAATTCTAAGGAGTCTCCAGATGAATTGGTGACACCCTTTTAAATCCATAACCAAGTCGCCAATTGGATTATAGACTGCATGAGGTGTCTCCAATCTAATTGACGACACCCTTATGCCCTTAACAAAGGGTCGCCAACCCAAACCCTAACTGTGGTACTTTGGAAATATTTTTGAAAGTGGGATATTTTGAGATTTTTTTTTGAAAAATTGGATTATTTAGGTAAAAAATTTGAGTTTATCTCTCTTCCAAATTTTCACTTACTCCCTTAGTTGTTAGATCCTCTAAGTTGGAAATCCACGGCTGCTCCTGCAATTAAGTCTATTGCTTGGACAGCACTAGTTAACAGGCTTAATACAAATTATTCGCTGCAGATTTGCAGGCATCGCATTGATCTCTTTCGACATGTGTTGCAAGTCAAGCTCATATACAATGGATTTATTTCCGAATTTCTGTATTGAAAAGAAGACGCCGATCTAATTTTCAGAAGGAATCGACTGTCCTGTTGCATACCTAGTATCCAAGTTTTGTTTGTTTCATTATTTTGTTTTCCTGTTGCGTGCCTAGTATCCATGTTTTTTTTCAAGTCTTGAGATTACCTTGTCATCACCCTTAAAGTGTGTTTGCATGAGGTAATTGAGAATTTTTAAGAAATTCAAAATTCTAAGCAATTTAAATGATTCAATTGAAATCCATTCATTTTAAAATTCTTTTGTTTGGATGGAGTAATAAAATGATTAATTGTTAAATTTTTAGGGTCATTTTCATAAATTTTAAAAATTGAGCCAAATTTAAAATATGAAAATTAGGAACCAATTTGCAATTTTTGAAAATTTCAAGAGACTAATTTGTAAAATTTCAAAAGTTTTAGGGACTTATTTGCAATTTTATAAAAAAAATTACGGGTGAATTTGAAATATTTATAAAATATGAGGACTAATTACAAATTTTAAAAAATTAATAATAAACAATTTAACAATTGCATGATATAGAGTTAAGAAGTATTTTCAAATTCCTTACTTTTTGGTGTCATTTGAAATTCTTTAAATTTAACTTGAATAAAATACTTTATAAATTTACATCATTTTAACAATTCTTTATATTTTTTTATCCAAACAATGGATTTTGATCAAGTCATTTTACATTCTCTCAAAAAATACTTCCCCTCATTAAAATGCTTCATCCAAACACACTCTTAGTGTCCTTACTTCTCAAAGCTTAAATATAGAAAACTGACAAACACGCTTTCTATATTGTCTAGTCTCAAACTATCCAGCGTTTGAGACTCGAAAATTTGAACAAACTATCATATGCTGCCTCTTTTGCTTAATATGAAGATATAATTAACTCTTTTCCACAACAAATAAATGTTTTCTCCAAATAAACAAATACAAATTGTAACTAACTCAGGATGGATAACTATAAAAGCAAGCCATTGACAAAAGGAAAATGAGAAAGTGATATCAATTATCAATGACAAACTCAGATCATTTTTAATGTGAAACATTTAAAAGATTCTTTGATGAAGCAAATCAGCAGAATAAGAAAGTGAACATTTCTGAGCAGATGGAAAACTTACAACGCTATTGGCATCCCTCCCTCCACAAAGCAGAAGAAGCCCATCAGAACGTGCACTTGCAGTTGCATACCTACCCAGAAGTAAATCGAAAACAGCAACTCAACCTCACTATAAAAAATTTCAACCACATCATGATAGCCAACATAAAACAAATAGAAGCCAAAGTTATTTGATGACATCAACCACTATTCATAAAATATTCTACTGTGCTCTCAAAAAAAATCATAGCAACAGTTAGCTTACTTCACTCAAGAAACAAAACATTAATCCTTATTGGCGATTTGACTAAAAATGTGTCAAGATTGATCAAATAATAAGTAAATAACAAAGGAAAAAGCTCATCAAAAGTCAGTTTGTTTCCAATATGTGCAAGTAAAGGTGTATCCACCCTTAGAACGTTTAGTGGGTTAAAATCAAACATGTTTTATTTAACCGAAAGTGGATATGAATCATATTCCCTTACATGGTCATGTTAGAGACACCTCCAATTTAAAGGAGCATTTTCCATTATATATTGGTAGTATTTATAATTTCACATTTCTGCTTCCAAAATGTTCCACATGATATGTCAAACTTCAATTCATAGGGCCCTACTCAAGATTTGTAATGTAATTGTAATTACACATAAAAGAAAACCATACATAAAGGTGATACTGCTCTGATAACAATAAGTTCCCAAACAGAAGAAAGAATAAAGCAATCACTAGCCAATAAACCAGACCAGCCAGAATATACAAGGCAACAGTCAGTAAATGGATACTTTGTTTGACATAGCTGGACTAGAAGGGGTATAGAAAATTCAGTTTTCACTGATTCTGTAAATATAATATCACATTTTTATATTGAAAAAGAAGAGAAATAGTACATAGTACATTAGGAACAAATTCAGATTGATCCATAATACAAAAAGAGTTATAAATCAGGAAACCATACATAAAGGTGATACTGCTCTGATAACAATAAGTTTCCAAACAGAAGAAAGAATAAAGCAATCACTAACCAATAAACCAGACCAGCCAGAATATACAAGGCAACAGTAAGCAAATGGATGGATACTTTGTTTGACATAGCTGAACTAGAGGGGGTATAGAAAATTCAGTTTTCACTGATTCTGTAAATATAAAGTCACATTTCTATATTGAAAAATGAGAGAATAGTACATAGTACATAGTACATTAAGAACAAATTCAGATTAATTCAGATTGATCCTTAATATGAAAATAGTTTTGAAATCAGGAACAACCCTCTCATTGACATCCAAAGTCACACAATATGATAATTTCAAGGGAAACAAACAAAAACACTAGTCCAAAATAAAATAAAGTCTAACAAGCATATCTACATGTATATCATCTAACAAACTGGAAACGAAGGGCTAAATTCTCCTGAACCTGGTTAACAAGAGTCCCTACACAATCTAGTTAAAGCAATCAAGGTTTCAAATTGAAACAAGAAAAACTTGCTCTCGGAACCTATCTCAAGACATTATAAGGCTATGGAATAGGAAATAAATATAAATATATAGCATTTAAAAATGGTAAGATCGTAGTGTAATCAAAATATTAGTGAAGATAGGTAGAATTCGTGAACTCAGTACATGCATGGAGGCGGACCCTCTCCTTCTGGCTCCAATTTGCGCCATTCGTAGGGCTTGGCAGCTGTGTCTAAGGCCCATACATCAGCCAAAGGTCTCTTTCCTGTAAAGCGGTGATAAAACAAGTGTAAAATACAACAATTTTACACTTCAAAGCAAACAACTGAGTAAAATATGTAAAAGCATTGGGGTGGCTACCATCATTGCCTCCAATTGCCATGAGATACCTCTGCCCCACCAAAGCCATAACGTGTCCATAGCGTGGCCCTGGTCCAGGCCCTGGAACACCAACTCTACATTACATCCAGAACAAGTATCAGATTTATGCAATTATAAAGAGGGTAAAGATAGGTTACTAGTCTAACCTATGCCATCTTGGTCGTTGCTGTGTGAGATCAAGAACATGAAGGTCCTCTGCTGATAATCCAGCAGGACCAATGCCGCCCTGTTTTACAATGCAATATTCCTCTAAGAATTAATCTAATCATTTGAAGAAAGGAAACATATTAACCAATACCAAGTAAACAGAAGAGATAATCTTTTTGAACTACCTGAATAACTACCATCGTTCCCACAGCAGTGGCCACATGTGCGGCCCTTGGGGTTGGAGGCTCTCCAAAGGGAGTTATCCTGCATTAAATTTCCTCATAAGCACTAAAGCAATGCACATAAGAGCATAAAAGGATTATTGGAGCATTAATAAAGGCTGGAAAATATGATTTAGTTCTAAGCTCACCTAGACCATTTATTAGTCAAGACATCATAACAGTGGACGTCAGCAGTGGCACCGGCTAAACCTGAGAGGTAAATGAAATATGCCAATCATGATAAGTTTCAAGCATAAACACCTATCCATTCAATCAATATCAGTTCTTATTCAAAGGAAAAATTGTATATAGTATAGACAAATCAGTATTCAAACTTTGTACTGACCCTCCAAGGTGAGAGAGTACAATGCCAAATTCCCATTAAATTATGAAATTTTAAGACTTTGTTTGGAGTGAAGTCTTCAGCAGAGAGAGACAATTGATTAAACTTCATTTAACAAAAGACAAATGCTTGATGTTACCAAGTTAATTTTGACGACGAATACTGACATGACTCATTTGGGGGTAAAACTATGTTATCCCTGACCCTCTTTCTTCTTTTTCCCTATCTTACTAAGCAAATTGATCCACTTTCACGTAGGATGCTCACTGCAAGGCATCATCTCACTCTCATCTTGTGTTCCCACCCACTAGTCTCTTCCTTCATTTTGTCAATACTTTCTCGCTTATTTCATATGCTGGTTTGGTTTTCATATTATTTAGTGATATACTCTCATCATACAGGGGGGCAAGAGCTTCTTTCCTAAGCTTTAAAGTTCTTTCCCTTCAATAATTTGGAAGCTGGGGTGATATCAATTATATATTTCATATCAAAACAATAAAGACTCCAGATGCTTGTAACTAGTTAGAAGTTAAGTTACAAAAATGAAAACAGTAGAAAAATTATTGACTGATTAGTGGTTGGGGTTGATGGTTGCAAAGGTTCTATGGTGGCAGTTCCCACAGAAGGTTTCTATTTCTTAGGGGAGTTATGCTTGAACAATTTAATTTTAAATTTTAATGAAAAATACTCCTAAGTTGTGTCTGGATTTGTAAATAAGTGACATGAGGAACCTGCACGCTTAAGCAATAAATTATTGTGTTTCATAGGAAAAGCCTAGCAGTTATTGTAACAAAAACAGATATTGGGTTACGAAATTGACTGTAACGTGACTTATGTACAGATATGGTTTTTAAATGTATGTTAGGTAAAATGAAATGTTTGAATGATACAAATTATAAGTACTTTGAGATATGTAATTACCAAAAAGGGTATGGGATATATAGTATTCATTTTATTTTTGGTCGGTAGATGAAGTGGCAATAACCAACTCACACACACAACTATGAGGTCCCGGGTTGGACCCCGGGACATGATATCTGACTTAACAATATCAGCATTTGCCAGTTGAGCTAGCACTTAAAAATAATGTAGTACTAAATTATTAATATTATTTTTTACATCATTGTCAACAAATAAATTATAATCTGTAAAAACAATTTAATAAGTTACATTAACAGGCGGACCCCTGCATATGTTTTGGACACACTATACTGACTAAAGCAATGATAGTCAACACAATGTTGCACTCCCTTTCATATATTACCGCCACTTTCTATCATATCCTATTCCCTAATTTACCTTCTTCCTAAATATCTATAAATTTAAAAGGACTCTTCATAAGTTGAATATCTATTAACTTATTTAATTGAGAAATTCTAGTAAGTTCTGAGTCCATGTCCCCAAGATGAAAAAGAATCAAAAGCAAGCTTTAAGGGAGCCACAGTTTCCACAACTATAAACATTTAGTGTCTATTTGCTTTTGCACTCTTGCAGAAGCAAACAATTATATTGAATGAATGGATTTTGGTTCAGGTTGATTGAAAGTATAGTGATTTATTTTGAATACATTCATCTAAAAAGTTAAAAATCATGTTTGGATGCAACAACTCCCGCTAGTAGCTAGAATTCATTTTGAAGGCAAAAGTGACTTACTCAATCATGTCAAAATCAATTTCATGTGTTTACAACCACTTTTACCTCTCACAAAAGTGAATCTAAACATGCACTTAGTTCATAGAGACCAAAAAATGCTACAAAAATTGAAAAGGCCTGGAAAACCATCCCTCTGTGATTGCATTTCCATGACCTATAGACAACAATGTATTGCGGCTTTGGCATTTACACATCAACCGTAACTACCTGAACTGCTAAAGCAAACACTGATTTAAGAGACACAAATCAAGCATACAGAGCCTCTAGCATTGCTTCCAAATTAATCAGAACCAGTTTCAAAACACTAAACAAATGCTAACCGAGATAGAAAAAATAAATAAATAAATCACACACACAAGAAAGTAAAATACTTACGTATGCCTGCATTTCCTGCAGAAGTAGGAGTCCCTGAACCAGCGGAATTCCCTTCAAGTGCAGTCGCACCCCCGAATAAAATCAGTCTCGGACCAATATATCCAGGCGTTCCATCCTCACCCACCGCCGGCACAGCCGTCAAAGTATGACCACACCGTGGCCCAGGTCCATCATCCTTCTTCTCCAAAATCGCATCCACAACTGTATAACTCGGAGCAAGCCTCGGACCAACAACCGGACTGTGCTGCACCTGAGCAGCCGCAGCAGCACCTTGCTGCTGCGGTTGTTGCTCTGCAGGAGATCCACCGCCAGAAGAAGATGACGATGGCGTCTCCCCTATCTGCTCTCTCTCTTCATTGCTCAGCACCGCTGAACCGTGATCGCTCTCCGCCACCATGGAAGAATCAACATCCATTGTTTAACCCTAGAGATTCGAGATGCTCCGCTAAGATCGGAGCTATAATTGCCGCGAAATCGCGTTCTGGAGTAGCATTTCGATCAAAACGAAATCAGAAACCCTAACACAGATCCTCTACTTTCAATTCAGAGAGAAAAATAAACAACGAAAATCTTCTGAATTCAATTAGGTTTTCCTCTTTCTCTGTCACTCCCTCGTTCTCTTTCTAACGAACTCGGAGAATGAAATTGAAAGGTGAACCAAAAGAGGGAACAAAACAGAACAAAACGGAACGGAGGAGAAAATCACAAGGCGGCACCTTCAGCAACAAACACAATAGCTAAACAAATTAATTTTTAATTTTAATTAAAATTAAAAATTAAAAATATGATTACTTTATCTGAAACGAAAGGATTGGGTATTTTTTTTAATTTAAATTATCATAAAATTTCAAACTTTTTCCTAGATTTTTGTTTTCAATTTAGTGGGATGATTTCTCTTCTTTTTTTTATGTTTTTAATTTTTGTCTGAACTGCCTTTTTAGATTTTCAGTCTACCGAGATATTTTTTTTTGCCTAAGTCACTCTTTCGAATTTTCAACTTAGCGAGCTGTTTTTTTTTAGGCAGAGTATTTCTTAATTGTATCAATATTTGTGGGATAACTCTTCTCCATCCATGATTGTGAGTATCAAAGTATCGTCAGAGAAGGCTTTCTTAACAATGTAGGGGCCATCATAATTTGGAGTTCATTGCCCTTGGAATCAGTGAGAAATTATTGGATCTTCTGGAACACGAGGTATCCCTCTCTGAAGACACGAGGTCGGACTTTTTGTCGAACGTTTTCTTCATTCTTTGCTGATATAACTGACCATGACATAAAGTCGTCATTCTTTTTTCTTCGATCAGATTCAGTTCATTGTATCTGTTTTGACACAATTCAACTTTTGTTAGCTCGATTTCCATTAATACTCTTATTGACGGGATCTCAACCTCTATGGGGAGCACTTCTTCCATGTCATACACTAGGGAGAAAGGGGTCGCCCCTATTGAAGTGCGGACGGATGTACGATAACCGTGAAGAGCAAAAAGGAGTATCTCGTGCCAGTCCTTATAAGTCACGACCATCTTCTGAATGATTTTCTTGATATTTGTGTTAGCTGATCCGACTGCTTCATTCATCTTTGATCGGTAAAGAGATGAGTTATGGTGTTCAATCTTGAATCCAGCGTATAATTCCTTCATCATCTTGTTGTTCAAGTTTAATCCATTATCAGTAATGATCCGCCTTGGAACACCATAACGGTAGTTGATATTATTTTTGATATTTTGGACCACCACTTATCTGGTCACATTGGTGTATGATACTGCTTCGACCCATTTGGTGAAGTAATCAATGGCTACCAGGATGAACCGATGTCCTCTTGAAGCTTTGGGTTCAATCATATCAATCATGTTGATTCCCCATATAGAAAAATGGCATGGAGAAGAGAGAACTTTGAGATGCGTTGGCGGTACATGAATCTTGTCGGCGTATATCTGACACTTGTGACACTTCCTCATGTACTTGTAGCAATCGGATTCCAGTGCCATCCAATAATATCCTGCTCTTAGAATTTTTCTTGACATTGTAGCAATCAGATTCTACTGTGTATCTTTAAACTAATTCTACTTAGTGAATTTCCTTCCTGACTTGGTAGCCCTCAGACGTAGGTGTGTTTGCACTGAACTGGGTTAACAATTGCTTATGTCTTTTTACTATTGTTAGTAGTTTGTCTTTGTTCATATATTGGTGATAGTTCAGATATTAGTGTCGCGACATCGCCTTCGACATCTTATATCTGATACCAGAATTTCAATTCAGCAGATATGCATTCTCTGGCTGACTCTTATACCCTGGATTTTCCATGTAAGGCTCCCAAATTGGAAAATCATCCATGGGATCATATAAGTTGTAATCGAAGTTGTCTTTCATCTGAGTATCTTCTTCTAGTGAGTTGGGATGAACATGACATCCTTCGGGATCATAATCTTCGTAGATCATTCTGACATCTGATCTTGGTATATATTCAGGACTTTGCTTCGGAGAGCAAAATGGCATGTATGTTTCTTCTTGAGATATACATCCTTCATTATTGAGATATGATTTCCATTCTTCATCTGTATCAGAAGAATCATTTTCTTCGATGATATGGACTTCTTGAGAAATTAGGTGGAGGAAGCTCCACTGTGGAAGAAATCTTGAACAGGACGAATGCCTTCATTCTTCTCTGTAGTTTTGGTAAATGTTGGAGAAAAACCGAGACATTTTCTCGTCTTAGTATCAACAAGAACCATAACTCGTCCCCATCCTTTTATGTCACTGTCTCCCACTGCTTTGAGAGCGTCTTTATATGAGGAAATTGACGTCCCTTTCTCTTAGTGATTCTCATTGCTCACAGAGAGTGCTTGAAATTGAGTTCCAACAACTTTTTCTGGTTCTAAGTATGAGAATGACGATAAATTGCTTACGATTAAAGCTTTTTCTTCATATACTATAACTATTTTGTTATTCTTCACAAACTTCAGCTTTCGATGAAGTGTTGAAGTGATTGCTCCTGCTTCATGGATCCAAGGTCGTCCCAATAAATAATTGTAGGCTTCCTGAATATCCATTACTTGAAAAGTGAATAGAAAAGTATGAGGTCGGATGGTTATGGGAAGGTCAACTTCACCGATAACTGCTTTTCTAGATCCGTCAAAAGTTTTGACTATGATCTCACTGCCTCTCATGGGGGTGCCTTGAAAAGATAATCGTACTAGAGTTGACATTGGCATGACGTTCAAGGACGAACTTATGTCTACGAGCACGCTGGCTAAAGCATCGTCCTGGTAATTAACTATGATATTGAGCGCGATGTTGTGATTCTTGCCTTCTGTAACACCCCAATTTTTAGTAATTATTTATTAATTAAATTAATTGATTAATTATGTGATTTTAGGCCTAATTGAATTAACTAATTTATGTGATTTATTTGATATAATTGAATTAGTTGATTTATTGAATTTATATAAATTATTTGATTTATTTGAGTTGTTTGGATTAATTGAATTATTGGACATATTCGAAATAATTGATTTAATTTTATTATTTAACTTATATGATATATTCTAATTTGTAGAATAATATAGAATTGATAGGTTAATTGATTGGGCCTATTTGGGGGTGTGAATAGACATGAGTTATTAAGCCCATTAGAATTACTAGGTTAATTAAAATTGTGAGAATTATATAAAATAAGAGAATGGGATAAAAGAGAATAGAAAGAAAGAAAAGATAGAAAGGAGAAAAGAGGCAAAGAGAGGAGTGGAGAAGAAGAGGAGGAAACTCAAGAGAAAGAGCAAAAGTTCAACAAATTCAAGGTAAGGGTGAGAAACATTATTATTTGATCAATGTGTATGATTATGTATGAGTTGTGTTGGATTTGTTGGTAGTTTTCTCTATTTTCCATTTCTAGGGCATAAATGGTTTAATCGGTAGAATCGAGTTTTGAACGGTTAGAATTCAAAATAAATTGCATAGTTTAGTCGGGTAATGTTTAGCCGTGATTATTGGATTTCGTTTGATTGAATTTGGTTGAGTTTGTGAGTTTTTACATTTTTGGATAATTGAGGGTTTGAGATTTGAGTGAAAATCGGACGTCGTAGAAATCGTGTTTAATGGTTCTAATTCACTGCTATATGTTAGGTGAGTATGAGTATGTGTTTGTTTCGAAAAAAGGAATTGAATCGATCGGATTTTCGGGCGAAAATGCAAAATCCCGTAGCCGTGTTTAGGCAAAATTTTGATTTTTCGGAAAACATCGAAAATTCATAACTCTTGAACCGTAAGTCGGTTTTGACCCCCGTTCGAAGCGTTGGTAAGTTAACGAGATTGTCCTTCTAGAAAAAATGGATTTGAGGTCTGTACCTAGTTCAATTATAGCAGAAAATTGAAAACATATGGTTGTGTTGATTTTTACCGTCGCGAATGTGTGTGATTGATGTGTTATTGTGCAGAATACTTTTGTTATATAACGTATAGCTTGTGCATGTTGTGATATGATATGTTGTGGGTAGCCATATGGCGTGAATCCTAGATGGTGGAGTCGATTATGAAATATAGTCTTTTGACAAATATATGCTTGTTTGTATGTGAAGAATGCATGAGAACATATTGTGAATATGTGTGCATTGCTTGATAAATGTGGTAATGATATTGAAGTGTAACTGCATATTGATTGTATGCGATATTGTGAATGCATGAGAACATATTGTGAATATGTGTGCATTGTTTGAAAAGGTAATGAGGTTGAATTATGAATGCATATGTGTTGTATCCGATTATTGTGAATTAATGCATGGGAGCATATTGTAAGATATGCGTGCATTGTTTGACAAATATGTTGATGAAAAGTATGAATACTTGATTATATGATATGTTGTATGTGCAATCTTGTTTAATTCTTGAAGGGAGGAATTATGTGAATGCATGGGATTAAGACGTGTGATCGGTCTTAAGTGCATTTTGTTATTGATTGCATATGCATCATTTAGTCAAGAGGCAATGTTTGCTAGTTTCGTGGAGGCTAGTGACTTGTCCCAAACCTAGAGCGGGGTTTGAAAGCTTAGGGAATGGGCTTTTGTTGTTATCGGTCTAGGGAACGGACCCGGTTTAAGTGTAAAAACCGAAAAATGATAACAAGTGTTGGTACCACATGGCATGAGTTGCATTGAGTTGCATTGAGTCTCATGGAATGAATATATGATTGTTGTATGAAGTTATGCATAGGTGTATGTACATGACTTGTGTAATTGTGAACTATGAATATGCTTGGTGATTATCCATATTTGATTATATATATGTTATATTGTACATGATGAGTTATAATGAATTGTGGTGAGAAAATGTGGAATATATGTATTTTGTGCTTGTGTATTTGTGTATATATAATTATATGCATTGTTATTATGATAATATTTCTCACCCTTCTGCTGGAATG